AAGTCGTGCCCCCACTGGGAAACGCAATGAGCTTCATCCACCACCAAGTAGGAGAGCAGGTTTCGGGACACGAGGGAATTCAGGGTGGGCTGGAAGGAGGCCGAAGCTGCCATCTCTGGGGTGATGTACAAAAGTTTGGTCCGAGGTTTTTCTCGCTCGAGGTCAGACAGCAGCTCCTTCTTCTCTTGTGCTGAGAGCTTTGAGTTCAGGGAACTAACTTGTACCTTCAGGGCCAGCAGGTGGTCTACCTGGTCCTGAGAGTAAAGAAGAATGCAGAATTGAGCATCGTTAGCCCTCAGGACCAGGCAGTCAGCACAGCATCTCAACCATGGACCATGGAACCGTCTCCATCTACCCTCTAATGTCTTCTCTTTGCCCATTAGAAAGGATGGTAGAGTGGATGTGAGGAGAGGCTCTGGGGTCAGAGGACCTGGATCTACGGTGGCTCGCTTAGCTCTCTGAGACTCTGTGCCTTCTCATTCACCACACTCAGCCCGCTGCCCTCCACAGCAACTGCCTGGCAGGACTATGACGAGAATGAGGTGAGACTTTGAGATGGAAGATGGTCGTATAGGCTCCTAATCCTAGCACTTCAGATACAGAAGCAAGAGGATCAGGAGTCTGAGGCTAGCCCCACCTACATGTTAAGTCTGAGGCCAGCTGGTGCTATTTGGAACCTTGCCTCAAAAGATAAAAAAAGAACAGAATGAGGATGGGTGTGGTGGGTAGCACACATCTTTAAATTCAGGAAGCAGAGGCAGGAGAATTTCTTGAGTTTGAGGCTAGCCTGGGCTACATAGCGACTTCCAGGATAGCCAAAGCTACATAGAGAGATCCTGACTTGGGAAAAAGAAAAAGAAACAAAGAAAGGTGAGTGGAAGAGGTGCTGACACTCTTGGCACAAACCCTAGATGTATCCACTAAGTGTTACTGCTGCTTTCCATCTATCTATACGGTCGATGGCTCTTACCCAATCCTACCCGCTCACCTGCAGGCACTAAATATAGTCAGAGTATCTGCAGGGCAGACATTAGTAAGTTTCAGTTTCTCTCCACCTCGTTTCTGCTGCACATCCCTGTACTGTGCCAAAATGGAATATAACACCAGACGGCCAATATCAACTCATCAGCCCCACTCATTGCCTCTTTCCTGTTGTGAGTACACACAGGAGAATATATGCATGCATAGATATGGCTGGATACTTTTTGGGACAGTAACAGAAGAAGGAAGGAATCTCAAACCAGAGGCAGTAGCTCATGTGTTTTTAATCCAGCACTGGGGTGGAGGGGGGAGAGGAGGGGTGGAGTGTGGAGAGTGGGATAGGCAGGAGAATCTCTATGAGTTCAAAGCTAACTTATATATGGAACTCAAAGGTCAGCCAGGGCTGCATGATAATAGCTGTCTTAAAAAAAGAAAAATGGGGCTGGAGAGATGGCTCAGTGGTTAAGAGCACTGACTGTTCTTCTAGAGGTCCTGAGTTCAATTCCCAGCAACCACATGGTGGCTCACAACCATCTGTGATGAGATCTGATGCCCTCTTCTGCTGTGTCTGAAGACAGCTACAGGGTACTCACGTACATAAAATAAACAAACAATTCCTTAAAAAAGAAAAGAAGAACAACGGAACCACAGTAGCTCACTGTGACTCACACAGTGATACGCACTAGTGGAGACACCTACATTTAGCCAGTAGAGAAACTCGGCATAGTTACTTAGGCAAATGAGAGAAGAGGCAGCGGTGAAAGAGAGAAGTGAGATGTCTTTCACGTGTATTTGTAAGTGGTTTTTGCTTGTATTCATGTCTGTGTACCACATTGAGGTCCAGTGCCTGAGGCAGTGAACCTCCATGTGGGTGCTAGGAACTGAACCCGGATCCTTTGCAAGAACAAGTGCTCTTATACCGAGCCAACTCTCTAGCCCAAGACAGTAAAATTTCCAGCTGTAAAACCCCTTCACTTCAAGCTGGGCCTGGGATTCTATAGCTGGAAATTTTACACACCCACAGTCTCACCATTCCTGAGGTAAGATGGCACGGAATGGAAGTTCAAAGGCAGCCTAGGCTTTAAAAAAAAAATATGGATCTACAGGTATTGGTATATGAATAAAGAGTATATGAAATAAATTGAAAGTAAAATTATCCGGGGACAAAGTGAGCTAACAGGAGGGAAGGGCAAGAAAGGGCAGGGGTGGGGGAGGGGGTGTGTTCCACATACACTGTATGCTTATCTAAAAACTGGGAAAGAAGATGACCAAAGCAAACAAGCAAAATGTTCCTGTCCCTCATGATCTTTTTGGGGTTTCCTGTTCACTTCCCGCAAGACTCACCTGAATCAAGGCAATGAGAGGAGAGATTACAATGGTGATCCCTTTGGCCAGAAGGGCAGGGAGCTGATAGCACAGAGATTTCCCTGCCCCTGTGGGCATGCACACAAAAACATCCTTGTCACCTGCAAAGATAGCAGAGAACACTTCGATAGATCCTGTCTGTCTCTTGCATTGATGCCTTTGAAGGAATAATCTGTTTTCTTTATTATTATTTATTTATTTTGGGTTTTTTTGAGACAGGATTTCTCTGTGTAGCCCTGGCTGTCCTGGAACTCAATTTGTAGACCAGGCTGGCCTCAAACTCAGAAACTTGCCTGCCTCAGTCTCCTCAGTCTCCTGAGTGCTGGGATCAAAGGCGTGCGCCACCACACCCACCACACCTGGCTTTTTTTTTTTTTTTTTTTCCTAAAGGGATTTCACTACTGGCTGGCTTGGAATTTGCTCTGTTGACTGAGCTGGCTTCAAACTTGTTTGATCCTCCTGACTATGCCTTCCAAATGCTGGGATTACAGGCCTGTACTGCTAAGCCTGGTTCTGGTTATTGTAAATCAAATGAGAATGTAGGAAAAGCATCTAGCCAGGTGGTGGTGGCGCACGCCTTTAATCCCAGCACTTGGGAAGCAGAGGCAGGAGGATTTCTGAGTTCGAGAGTTCGAGGCTAGCCTGGTCTACAGAGTGAGTTCCAGGATAGCCAGGGCTACACAGAGAAACCCTGTCTCGAAAAACCAAACCAAACCAAATTAAAAAAAAAAAAAAAAGGAAAAGCATCTAGCTGAGCATTTGCACACAGGAATGTCTTGGCAGAACATTTGTTTCCACGTATTCCCTTCCCCACTCTTTCTATGTAGAGGACCTTGGGAGACCAAGACATTCTGAAAATCTGCTTCTAATAGTGACCCCGTGACAGCCAAAAAATACCCCTCCATTTTGTGCTACATATCCATCTGTGTCTGACTCACGTTCCAGGAAGATAAGTAGTCTTTTTTTTTTTTTTTTTTTTTTTTTTGTGGTTTTTCGAGACAGGGTTTCTCTGTATAGCCCGGGCTGTCCTGGAACTCACTCTGTAGACCAGGCTGGCCTCGAACTCAGAAATCCGCCTGCCTCTGCCTCCCAAGTGCTGGGATTAAAGGCGTGCGCCACCACCGCCCGGCTGATAAGTAGTCTTGAGGTGCTGGGATATGAGTGTTTGGATTAAACATCCAGGGAAGCAGAGTACTGGGCACACCAGGGTAGATACGCAAGGCTATTTATCACTCAGTACTGTTAATAAGTCTGTCATTGGTGGGGCATTACTGCTATCATCTGGACAACCTCAGGTACCCTACCTCCAGCTTACAGTACTATTATTCACTCCTTTTCTACCCGGAACTCAAGTTACTTAATCTCTAAGGAAGAAGATTACCTAGATCACTGACAAGATTAACCATTACTGCTACCCTTGCACAGGAACAAGAACGCGAGTCTAGGAACAGACTTCCAACACAATCTGTAGGTTTGGCTATGTAAAAAACCAGAAGTGGGGGTGGTTCCTTCCAAAATTTGTAGCAGACTATGATAGCCCACACCTGTAATACCAGTACTTAATAATCCAGAGGCAGGAGGGCTGGCTCAAATTTGAAGCCAACTTGATGAATATAGAGAATTCCAATAAACAGACAAATAGATACCAAGCATCAATAAATAACCCCTAGATTTGGTCATGAAAGATTTCCAAACCAGTAATGGATAAAGGGTGAGGAGGTAAGAACCAGGAGGGTGTTGTGCTAGAGGTACTACGGGACAACCAGCAGTCTGCAAAACAGGTAGCTTGATATGTTACCTTTCACTACAGCCATGGTCGCACTCTCTTGTAAAGGTGTTTTAAAAGAATCAAACCCAAAGACTTTCTTCAGGGTGCTCCGGACTCGCCGCTCCCGGTCGAATGGAGTGGAGAAAGGACGGGCGCTCATCTTTGCAAAAAGCAGCAGCCAAAAGGTTAACGCAAAGGTGGCCAAAGGCTACCCCGAAAAGCCCTCTGCTCCACTTTAAAATATAGTCTGTTTCTTCTGCCGTATAATCTGCTATGTTACACTTAAATATATCATTCTCAAGTAGTAAAAGTGAAGGTTGAATTACTTCACGCAATACATTCCTGAGGAATTAACATTACTTCTCCCCTGAATAAAAAGAAAAACGATGAACTTTCCAGGTCAGTAGAACACAACTAGAAACTGAACCACAACAAAGCCCACAGACGTTTTCAAACCCGACTGGAGAACTTGGAATCCTTTTTCTAGGGTCCTTGTTCTAGAAGCAAAGCCATAGAGACCATTCTTCCCTCCAAAAGGCCGACCCCCTTCCTCCTCTCAGCCTCCAAGTCAACAGCTTTCGCCCTTCGTCAGTCAAATGCTCCCCAATATGTCAGACCTCAGGCTCTTTGCGGCTGCCTCTGCAGCTTTTCAAAGAACACTACTCCCTAATTCTAACTCAGAAGCCAAACGGCCCCAGAAGTCGGTGAAGTAGAAGCCGCAAAACCTTACTTCCGTCCCGTGCTGATGACGTTTTCGAGAGCTGAGTGTAAGGGGCGGAGCCATGTCCAGACACGGTCCTTTTGATTGGTTTTCATTCGGGCGCGGAGTCTCCTGGGATCCGGAAGAGGTTGGTTTTCTCGCACCTAAATTGGCTTTTGAGTCATAGACGTGAGCCACACCGTGCTGTGGGAATAAGATGGCGGGGAAGAAGAATGTTTTGTCGTCTCTTGCAATTTATGCGGAATATTCAGACCCTGAGTCTGATGGCGAAACTGGAGTCGACGCTGTAGGCGGTGCGGCTGGTGAGACTTGAGCTGGAAAGGGGGATTGGTGTCTGTTATGGTTTAAAAATGCTGCTTCTCTAGAGGGGTTTGGGAAGAAGAGATGCTCATTGTGCCCCAGGTATCGGATCCTGGAACCCCAAGGCGTAGTGAATACCCTAGGTCAGACAGAGCGCTAGAACCTCTAGTACGACTGATCTCTCTGCAGTCCTCTGTGCAAGGCATCATGCTGGCCAGAGGATAGACCAAACGGTTCCGCATCAGTGTCTAGTCCATTACTGACTCGTTGTTTGATGGGGGAAGAGAGGAGTGAAATGTACCTGACGGATGATAAAACTTGTGTTTCGTTAAATTGGTAACGTTTTAGGAATGGGGTCTAAGTCTGTCCTAGAGTTTTTAAAAAATACATCTCTCCAACGTGCATAATTCTGTAGCTTTTTCATAGAATATGCTGGACATCCTTAAGCCTTTTAAGGCTCTAGGGTGATTCTGTTGCTTTGTGAGTTCTCAAAGCCTGCCAGTAATCCTGTTGCCCTCAGACTGCAAACCACAATAGGAACAGATTTCTTGAAGGAATGAATAGAGGGAGCAAATTAAGTGATAGACCGAGCTTTGGGTCTTCACATCTGCAAAGTAGGGGCAAAACAATGAAGAAGACAGTCTTGTACATAGAAGGCGTTTTTCAGGTTGCATATGACACAAGACAGAGATGTGTATGGTATGTCAAAACAGGAGTTTAAGCAACCGGCGGGCTGGTTCAAAGAGGGGAAAGGCTTTAACTGGACTAATAGACCAACATCATGTAATAAACTCCCACCCCTTGGAACTGCTGGGACTCAAACCCAGGGCCTTCCACATGTTAGAAAGCACCCCACTGCTTTGCTACTTCCCCAGCCTGTACTAAAATTATTAGGACATGGATTTAATGTTTGATTTTCTTTTCATATATATATATACACATATGAAATGGGCCATGCATGTGAGTTCTGCCCGTGGTGGGCAGAGGGAGGCATCAGTTCTTTAGAAACTGGCATTTGTGAGCTGCCTGATGTGGGTACTGGAAACCCAACTCTGTCAAACTCACAAAGTTCTGCCTGGCACTGCCTCCTGAGTGCTAGGATTAAAAGCACAGGACGCCAAACCCCATACATTATGCACTCATAGAAGAGCTGTCTTCCGATACTCCTGTTCTTGTTTTTTTCCAGACAGGATCTCTCTCTAGTCCTGACTGTCCTGAAACTCAGTCTGTAGACCAGGCTGATCTAGAATTCACAGATCCTCCTGCTTCTGCTTCCCAAGTGCTGGGTTCAAAGGTGTGCACTGCCACCTCTGGTCTTAATTGTTCTTCCTAAGTACAAAGTCTAATCCGAGCCTGTAGTCACTTACCTGAGTCTTAGGTCCCTTTTAGCTTCGGAAATAATCTTGGCCATTCGATTTTCAGAAACATTTTTACATCCCCTCTTCTCTCCCCTCCTCCCTCCTTTTCTTTCAGAGGAAAAAGGTGGTTTGGTATCTGATGCCTATGGAGAAGATGACTTCTCTCGCCCAGGGGGTGATGAGGATGGTTACGAAGAAGAGGAGGATGAGAACAGTAAGCAGTCGGTGGGTAAATCTTCCCCCAGATCCAGAGCTGTTCAAATAGTATTCCATTTCATGGTTAACTCTGTCCCTTTTTTCCTTTTGGTTTGGAATCAGTTGGTACCAGTTAGGGAATGTAGCTCACAGGAGAGAGCTTTGCTTAAGCATGTCAAGGGCTTGATCCCCAGCACCACAAAAAAGAAAGGAAAAATTGAATTGGCTGGGTAGTAGTAGTTCTTTTTGAAAATAGAGTTGTTTTTTTCCCCCCACATGGACCATATTGTATTAGCTTTTGAATTGAACTTGTTGTGGGGGGTTGCCATTTGTTTTGTTTTGTGTTTTTGAGACGGGGTCTCATGAAGCCCAAACTTACTTAACCCTTTTATCCCCGAGCTCCAGATCCCTTATGTTGTCGGCCTCTTGAGAGCTGGGGTTAGAAGCTGCTCCACTATGCCTAGCTTGTTACTGTCTGTAACTTTAGTGTCAGTGGGTATTTTCTGTTGCTTTGTGAGTTTAACCAATCTTTCCACTTGTATAAATGCGTTCATCCTAATTAGTGTGTCATCTACGTATCTGTAATCAGCTTTGTATTAATCTCGGTTGGGGTTTATTCAGATGCCTCACTTTCTAGCAAGGTAAGGAAGGGAGGTTTTCTCCTTATCATCCACTTTGGTTCTTTTGTTGTGTTCCACTTGGCGTCTTTGTCAGAGTCCCCTGGTTCTTGATCACAGAACTCCTTGAAGTTCTGTGGGTGCAGATAACAGTGTAAGGAGGACTGTGTCCCCATCATTAAGGCGAGAAGCATTTATGCCAATAAGCAGGCACCTGAGCAGCACAACTCGGAATTTTAAAGTCTGGAAGGGAAAAGGGCAAGGAAATTCAGGCTATTGCTTAGCACAAAAAGGCATCTAAAATTGGATTTAGATATTGAATCTGGCCACTCAGAGGGAGAGTTCATTGGAACACTCACAACATGCTTTATTTTGTTGTTGTTGTTTGGATTTTCTGTTCTATGTTGATATGTAAAGGTTAGCATTAGAATCCTTTTTAAGCTAAGTGTAATGGCCCGTGTCCTGCAATTCTAGCATTCAGGGTGCTGAAGCAAGAAGATTGATAATTCAAGAGTATATTCCTGTCTCACATAAGTTAAAATACAGACTGGGGGTGTAGCTCAGTGGTACGGCGATAGCACTTGCCTAGCAGTCACAGGACCCTGAGTTTGATCCTCGGTGCCACATACGAAAAAAACAGCAAATAAAATATTTCACAGAATATATTTTGTGATTACAAATATTTTGAGAGTTCTTTTTGAGAGTTCCTCATGCCTGTATCCCAGCCATTAGTGATAATTCAGAGTTGAGTAAAATTGCTAAGAAAACGTGTGGAAACCAGAAGATATGTGTGCGTGTGTGTGTGTGTGTGTGCATGTGTGTGTGTGTGTGTGTGTGTGTGTGTGTAGCAGGGATGAAACCAGGGGGTTGTTCCTCAGCATAAACCACAGATAGTACCTGGTGGTTCACAGCCTGTAGCCCCAGCATGGAAGAATGAGGATTACACATTCAAGGTCATCCTTAGCCCTTAGCTAGAAGAAAGGAAAGAATGAAATTCTGTTAAGTTCTTTGGCTTTCCATGCGTGTGTGTGTGTGTGTGTGTGTGTGTGTGTGTGTGTGTGTGTGTTGCGTGTGTGTGTTGCGTGTATGTATTTGCATGTATGTTTTCAAATACTAACCCACATCTACTTTCTGTCATAGTCAAACTATGTATGAGAGTTTAGGTTTTTTTTAAAAAACCTTTTCTCAAAGCCCAGTGTGGCTATTGGAGACGACGTGAGCAGTCTGTGAAGCTCCATCTTTGACTGTGTAGTTGGTTTCGTTTTGAGAGAGCTGTGTAGGTGACGGTGCATTCACCTAACGCTCCGGTTAGGTGAGCGTTCGCTTCACTGGCACCGTCCAGGGCACTTGTCCGAAAACCGTTTCGGTGTAGTTTGTTTGTGCTAACATCTGGAGTGCCGTGTCGTGTCTGGGGTAACATGTAGTCAATGGCTCACATCTGCTTCTTAGCTTTGCACCTTATTAAACTGTGGGCTTTCACTGGAGAATTCAGTACTCCCATGGCTTTGACTCAGGCAGACCTCCTTTGGGTAAGGAAGAGGGCTGAGAACAGTGGATCCGTGGCAGTAATGGGAGCACCGCAAAAGGCTGTCCCTCGCCCTTGTGTCCTCCCTCTCCAGATCACTTGGCTTGGTGATCTGATGCCCACCTTCCTGCGTGTCAGTGCTTCTGGCTTGAGGTGCCGCCTAGGTGTTGGGCAGCGTGATGGTTGTGGGTGTGAATGTGGAGGAAGTGGTAAGAGAATTCATCGTCCTGGCTTACATCCCTGCGGTCTGCCTTTTGGACTCCGCGGCCTAGCCTGACAGCTGTGGACCCTGTTGGATCTTCCCTCTCTTCACACAGTTTCCTTCAGGCATTCCCACTGATGTAGATGCTGACACACTGATTTGAGCTGCCGATCCCCCACCCCTTCCAGAACGTCTCCTTTTCCTTTCTCTTTCTCTAGTTCTGGGTTGTGTGGTAGGGAAGGGTTCTTGGTGGGGTGATTCCAGTTAGGTAAGCAGCCTGTTTACTCCAGCCGCTGGTTATGTGTGTAAGACAACCCAGGCCCACTCCTTTTAAGTTTAATCCTCTAAATTCTTTGTCTTGTAGGAAGATGACGATTCAGAGACTGAAAAACCTGAGGCTGATGACCCAAAGGTATTTGGTGTTGGCTGTGGTGGGTGGCTGGATTCAATCAAGGCTTTTAACATTCTAATTCAGGTCAAACGTGGGGTCAGGATCTGTCCCACTAGCACACAGAATGGATATTTTCTGGGATCAAGCCAGTTTAATGAAGACCATTAAGGCCACTAGGAATTCCTGAGGCTTGAGATAAAAAAACAGAAGAGGCCTGCCTGGGTTCTATACCCCATACACACTGAAGTCCACCCCTGTTTTCTCAGGCATGTGCCAGTCACGTATGCACGTGGTCTTTCTGAGGCAGTATCCTGCTCATAGGGCTGTCCAGGAGCAGCCGAGAGCAGTCAGCAGTGGCTCTTGTCACAGTCCTGATCCTGGGGTAATGACAGCCCTGGTGCTTGTGTGCACTGCAGAATGGAAATGTACTTTCTGCCGAGTCATGCTCTGTGATACAAACATCTCCCTTGGAAGAATGGATGCCACATTCACAGCTGCAAGCTGCTCTGAAATGAGCCAAAACCTTCAAGGTTGCATGAGCGAGATTTAGGAAACTTATGCCTGGTTGCAATAGAAAACAGTAGTCTCGTGGTTTATGAGTGATTGGGGTTCCAGGACACCCCACCTCCACACTCTTTAGATATGCAAATCCGGAGCTTCTCACAGTCTTTATTTAAAATGGTATATTTATATATGACATATATATACACACACACACTATATTTATGTATGACATATATATACACACACACACACTATATTTATATATGACATATATACACACACACACATATATAAAATTTGTTATATAAGTCCTCCTAGTTTCAGATTATCTCAAATTATTGTTACACTGTATTGTTCAGAAAAATGATTTTTTTTAAAAAAGTCTCATGTTCAATGCAGATGCAGTTTAAAAAAATTAAACCCATATTCATACATGTGAAATATGAAAGGGGGCAATGTATCTGCTGAATATATAGCACGAGCCATTCCATCAGATACGGCTGTGCCGCCATTGGCATAAACTCAGAAAGGCTACAGAAGACTTGGAATGTGTTTTACCAAGGATGCCAGAGTAGACGGCGTGGAGCCCAGAAACTAGGTGCAAACTACTTTCTGTGCAGAGTAAACCTAGGCTAAGAACTGGCCTGGCAGGAGAGTATGGGGCAGGCTGATGGCTTAAGACTGAAGGCCACCTAGAGAAGCTGTCATGCACCTAGCTGTCACCCCTTCTACAGTGCTGTGATCCCATCAGCAAGTTCTTGAGGAAAGATACATCCTTGTGAGAGAGGGAGACCTGTGGAGTACAAAAGACTTACTGCTCTCTGTAAGAGCAGGTAAGAAAGAAAAGGACACACACACACACACACACACACACACACACAGGTGTCCACTGATGCCAGAAGAGGTGTCTGTCACTTTCTGGAACTAGAGTTAAGTTGGTTGTGAGCTCCCAGGTGTGTTGGGAGGAGTTGGACTCGGGTCCTCTGCAAGAACAGCAAGCGCTTTTGACCTCTGAGCCACCTTTCCAGCTCTGTTGGGTTTAAGTTTTATTTAAATTTATATGAGAGAGTTTTGCTGTTCTAAGCTTTTGATGTGAGTAATTCTAAGAGGACATACTGGTAGAGCAAGTCTTTTACTTTATCTTCTGTTAAGTTAATGAGGTGCGTCGTGTCTGTCTGTCCACTAGATGGCACTCTCCACTTTTCAGGATCTACCTTTAACTCTGTAGGGGTTCTCAAAACATTTGGCTTCATGACACAACTTGGAAATGCAGATCCCAAGGAGCTTTTGCTCACTGTAAATACTGATATCTTAGAAGTTAAACCAAGATGCTGACAGACTCTGTGACCTCAGCACCAGGCAGGATGGAGTCTAAGTGCCTTAGAGCTTACTGGCTAGTCAGTGTAGCCAGTTGGTGAGCTCCAGGTTCAATGAAAGACCTTGTCTCAGAAAATCAGGTGGAGAGCAATGTGGGAAGATCCTGGACTCCTAACCTCTGTGTACACATGTGCAGGCACACACGCACATGCATGCAACCACGTGAACACTCATAAACTCAATTGGTAGTTTGCTAAAACAGTTTCTCTGTTCTACTATGTATATGTGCGTGCGTGCGTGCATGCCTGCGTGCGTGTGTGTGTGCGTGTGTGCGTGTGTGTGTGTGTGCGTGTGTGTGTGTGTGTGTGTGTCCTGCAAGACAGGCTGTCTCTGTGCTGGAACTCACTCTGTAGACCAGACCTGCCGCCTCTGCTGGGATTAAAGGGATGGTCACTCCCAGCTGTTCTGTATTTGAGAGAGTCCCACATGCTGAACCCCAGGCTAGCCTTGAATGCCCAGTATTACCAGGCTGCTCTCAGACTCTCAGTAATCCTCCTGCCTCAGCCTCCCAAGTGCAAGCCACAATGCCCAACCTCTGGTGTGTCTCTAAACACTTTTACCATACATGATTCCACACCAGACCAGAAACTGGAAGATGTCTGAGCTACACAGATTGTTTTGAGTGTTTGACGTGCATTGTTCTGGAATAACCCCAAACTGCGTTTGTTCCTGATTACCAGTGTTGCCTGACAGGTGGTTAAACATATAGAAAGCTGTCAGGTTCGCAGTGGTGTTTCTAGTAAGATTCCCCTCGGGAGCTTCAGTGTTACTGCCAGTAAGTGCTGTTCTTCACCTCTGATAAAATATCTGTGGAGAACCAAGAAGGCATAACCAGAATGTCAGTCAGTCTTTCGTGTAAAGTGGTGTTCCAGTGAAGAAAACAGCTGTTTCCATGTGACCTCAAGTCACACATATGTACTTTTGCTTGAGACAGCTGTCTTGATGGGCTTTAGCGTGTTTGGTATACCCTCAAGTCATCACACATGGTAAATAGATTAGATTAGTTCTCAAGGGTGACATAAAGAAAATGAATCATTTTTACAGCTTGGTGAAGGGTGTTCTTGAATGAAATTCAGCTTTTTTTTTTTTTTTTTAATCATACCATAAAAGCAAAAAATGGCAGCCAGGCAGAGGTGGTACCTGCCTTTAATCTCAGCTCTTAGGAGGCAGAGGCAGGTGAATTTCTGAGTTTGAGGCCAGCCTGGTCTACAGAGTGAGTTCAGGACAGCCAGAGCTATACAGAGAAACCCTGTCTTGAAAAACCAAAGACAAACAAAAAAGCGAATACTGGCTGCTGCTGGGATATCGTGAGCTCTGCAGATCCCCAGGGCTACAGACCCACTTCTGTGGTTTCTGTTTTGTTTTATGCCTTGCTGTACATCGGTTGTACTGGAGGTTGGCCTTCAGTGTACAGTGGTGCTCCAGCCTTTGTCTTTGAAGTGCTGGAATTGCAAGCAAGTGCCACCACAGCTAACCTGCAGACCAGCTATGAGCACCTCTGTTTTAAAACAGATAGCAAATAGTGGCTCATCATTGCTTTTACCGTTCTGTGAAAGTCAGATCCACAATCCTCCTTTGGTGTCTTGAGTTCCTGGGGCCCGTGGCTGGGGTGCAGAGGTTAGGCTATTCAGAACCACACAATACACCCCAGCATGGCTTCAGATCTAGCTTTCCTTGAGACATCTCCAAGCCTCGGTTTCTCTTCTTTGGGAAATGGGCACCATAATGAAATCTGCCTCTTTGATTTGATGAGAGTTAAAATGGTACTGGGTGCCCATGATCGGCAGCATCGGCTGCCACCACACAGTTGCCAGTGTCTGCTCACTTCCCAGGTTGGCCAGCCAATGTCGTTTACGACAGAGTAACGAGCCCGGTGCTTGGAGCCTCAGTGTGGTTAGAGGAGCAGGCATGAAGGTGAGGGCACAAAAGAAAGCAGACGGGGAGGGCTCGGAGAGAGCAGGCGGGCATGTTCTGGTGTGTGAAAGCTGGAAGGGAGGGCAGTGGCAGCCAGATGCAGACCTGGGACAGCACAGAGCTTCATGGAAGAGGTGTGCTGTCATACAATGGAGAATTTTCTGTCATCTCTTGCCAAAATGGTTGAGTTCTTCATAAGGTAGTAATCTCACTGTTTGTAAAAGATTTTTAAGTACATGTAAAGCCAGCCTGGTCTTCAGAGCAAGTTCCAGGACAGCCAGGCCTACACAGTGAAACCCCTGTCTCAAACAAAACAAAACAAACAAACAAAAAACCAAAAAGGTACCAAGACTAGAAATTGCATTTTTGTTTGTTTTGCTACTTTTTCTTGTATTTTAGTTTTTGTTATTATTGTTTGTGTGTCTAGCTGTGGAGGGAGGGGCAATGTGTGCCATGTGCCCGTGCAGAGGTCACAGAACAACTTTAGAATCGCTTCTCTCCTTCCTCCTGCATATGTTCTGGGGATTGAATGCAGGTTGTCAGGCGGGAACAGCAGTGTCTTTGCCCTGGACTCCATCTCCTTGCTCCTGCTACCTTGTTCTATGAAACAGGGTCTCACTGTAGCACAGTCTGGCCTCAGCCTTTGGAGCACTGGGACCTAATTTTGTTACTCTGATACTTGGAGTAGCTCCTGTGTGCACTCTCCTGCGTTGGAGTTTGAATGAGACTTAACTCCAGATCCACTGAGATAGAAAGGACTGAGTTAACAAATCAGAGAAGAGGAAGCCAGAGGGCAGGCAACTCGGAATGCCAACAGAAGCTAAACATGGCATGCTTCTATTCCATAGTTTCTTTCTCTTGCTTTCTGCTCTCACCTCCTTGGTAAGCAGTCTGGCCCTTGTGCTTTGATCACTCAACAGAAGGTGGTGCTGCTGTCCTAGAAACCGTCAGACCAGCTGTGGCAGTCCTCTGACAGCTCAGCACCTCAGGGCCACCCAGTGGCTCCGGTGTGCCTCTATCCATTTGCCCAGCGTGCCGCTGTCCTCTGTCCATGCTTTGCCTCCATAGCTCTGGAACATTCTCCCTTGTTTATTTTTCTTCCACTCCTGCAGTTCCTGTGGATAGAGGTATTTCCACTTGCTGTCCCTGGCACACCCTTCCATTGAAAACAAGCAGGGATAGATGATCTGGAACAAGAAAGGCAAGCAGCCTGCTGCCAGCTGTCG